TTACACCTAAGACAGGGTTGAACTTTGAAATGCACTGAGGTTGGATAACAGGTCTTAGTGTACAAATCTTTGGCAGCACCTAGGAGGCAGCTTCTGCCCCCTTCCCCATAATCTCCATCAGCTTCTCCAAAGCCATCCTTCAAGGGAGGTTCCTTGATGCTGGTGAAGGGCTCTTGATCTAGGGAAATAGATCTGTGCTCCAGTTCCCTGAATTAAGCCTGAATACCTTCCATCCTCCCCCCCAGGTGCTGCAGGAAAAAAGAGGGACAGTGACTATATAATGTTATTGCAGACTAGCAATACAATTTTACAAAAAAATATAATATTAATATTAATCATGGGGAAGTGTTTAACCCAGCTTTGTCACATAGCACTTAGTAATGACGTTAGATCCAAGGAGAAGTGTTCCAGTTGCTTGGGTCAAAACCCCTTCACTGATGTGGTACCCTACCCTTAAGAGGTTAAAATCTTCTAAGCTGTGGAGCTATTTACCAAAAATGTTAGGCAACATCTATACTCCTTCCTCCTTGTGCTTTTGATCTCGATGCAAGAAATTGGAGGTACCGTCTTCGCCTGGAGTATACTTGTACTCCAGGTATACTGGTACTCCAGGTATACTTCTAGGATCAGATATAATTAACTCCTATTTCCCAGGTGCTGTGTAAATCTTATGAGTTATATTATCACTTTCCCATATAAAAATCTATGTATGATAACATAGTATATTAATAAAAATAAATTGTCATCAATCATATCATCGATCATTATCGTTATCACCAGTCATCAGCAATAATAATCATCAGTATTCCTATCATCATTTAACAGTGAGTGAGACTGCATGGTAATAAAGTGTGGTACAGTAGAGGGCGGCTTATTTCAAATTTATTTTGATATGACGAGGGCATCCCAAACATAAATCAGCCACCACATATGAGGTACGTATTTATGAGCCCCTCAGCAGGTTTTCCACACACACACGGGCCCAGGAGCTTTGAATCGACCCCTGCAACCACATTTAGGCGAGTACACACACACATTTCTCTGAGGCTAAGGAACTCCATATATTTCACATTAAATCAATATAATAATTCAATGATGCCAGGAGAGGCTGCCACATTTTGGGTATCCTAGCAGCGACATTTTAGTAAATGTATTGCATAATATGCATATTTGTCTCTTAAATATCTAACCCCTCAAGGAAGGTTCCTTGATGCTGGTGAGGGGCTCTTGATCTTGGGAATTGGATCTGGGCTCCAGTTCCCTGAATTAAACCTGAATACCTTCCACCCCCTCCCTCAGGCGCTGTATAATCCTATGGGTTCAGCGCTTCCCCTTTGATTATAATAATAATGTCTAAATATATGCATGCAAATATTTACTTTTTTTATAATTAATTTTAGGACTACGTTTATTTCTAACTTATAGTTACCAAATAAATAGTATACTGCAGTGAATAGCTTCCTTCATTCAATTAAACATTTAATGAAGTAGGTGTGGAAACTTTTGACAATTTTCCTATGATTTAAATATAATAATTGATAGGAATAATAATGTTTATATAATAATGCAGGTGTTTAATGTTAGTGTGACTTTTAAAAGGTGATAAGTCACAACATATTCCTTATATTTTCATATAAAATGTAATAAGTTAATTAAATAAAGTGGAATTATTGAAATATTGAAGAAATTAATATTCTAATAAGGAAAATTTATTAGACACCTAGAAATATCACTAAATTTGAATAAATATATGTATACAAGATACGAAAGTAGAGAAGCAAAACTGGGAGTAAATGGAGTCGGCAGATTCGTGAATGTTTCTCTAATTTTGTAGTGTCCAGTAGTAACATTAGCGGTTAATTCAACGCAACAATTATAGGGAAGAGGACAGACACCTATAAATGTCCAGCTAGAGCATGAAATGGAAGAACCTAGTGATTTGACGACAGAAAATACGATGCGAGAGCTGTGAATCAGACGCCATATTGTCTGCTGTCGCGCGACTTCAATAATATAGGTTGACCTTCCAGTGTATATTACAAACCACACAACAGGTAAGGTTATTTGATATTGGACAATTTTCTAGTGATCCTACTATGGAAGGCGTAAGGATATACCACTAATGTATTAAATTGTTATGTAATCATTTGTCCTTAATATGAAATAATGTGATTAATGATTGTAGCCTAAAAGACAAAACAAAATATTTCAGTAAATTAAGTTCATTTAAACTTTATAATTATATAGTCCACTAATAATCAGTTTGTACTGACGTAAATTTTCGTAATATATATGCAGGAACAATGTTTCTAATCCAGGGCCCCTCAAGGAAGGTTCCTTGATGCTGGTGAGGGGCTCTTGATTTATTGAATTGGATCTGTTCTCCAGCTCTGAATTAAACCTGAATGCCTTCCACATCCCCCCTCAGGCGCTGTATAATCCTACGGGTTTAGCGTTTCCCCCTTGATCATAATAATAATTGTAATCCAGGGTCCTGCGAGTGAGTTAGGAGCTGAGACGGTGGGTATTGAAGGAGGGACATTGTATGCGACTCCAGTGTTCCTCAAGTTCCACAAGTCTCCAGGATACGACAACTTGTGTAAGTTGCAATTTTGGTTCGTATGTATCCAGTTCTCCCCTGAGTGTGGTTGGAATGTTAATTCGAGATTGTGTTCTTGTGAAAATTCTCTACAGTAGTAAATAATATGCGAATTATAATTTGCATAATTTATGTCACACTTTTTAACTCTGGTTTCAATAGCTAAGATTTTTCGGTGTTACAAAGGATTTGTGCTCATGATTCTTTATGCTGCTAATGAAATAAACTACGATGTACATCGGTTGATGGGCAATCTCAAGACAGGTATGCCTGTATTCAAGTGAATGGCGTCTCTTCATACAAGGATAATGGATAATACAGCATGAGCCATAAAAAAAAAAAAACTCGGGAGGCACCTTGATGCCAGTTAGGGGCTTTTGATTCCGGGAGGTGGGACTGTCAACCCTTTCCTTGAATCGAATATGATTACCTCCCATGCGTTATCTGACCCCATAATAGTTGATGTTTCCACCTGATTATAGTAATGATAATAAAGCAGCCCCCTTATGGGAGACTCCTTGATGTTGGTTAGGGGCTCTTGATCTAGGGAATTGGATCTGTGCTCCAATTCCCCAAATTAAGCCTGAATGCTTTCTCCCACAGGCGCTGTATAATCCCTACGGGTTTAGCTCTCCCCAAAACAAAACAGTTAAATATCAGCGTTAAAGAAGTGAAGCAAGTCAGAAAAAGTATTCGCAATTGCAAGGAATCCAGTATCCTAATTTCTACAATAAAAATTAAAAACCGGTGGAATATTCTGGGAAGAAAATACGTGGCACGGATCTAACCAGTTTCTGGAGAGGCTGAGCTCAATTTCAGACTGAAGAGCGAAAAGAAACATCAGCAAGGTAAATGAAAAATACTGAGGTCAGATTGAATGCATCATATACATACTATATATATATATATATATTATATATTATATATATATATATTATATATATATATATATATATATATATATATATATATATATATATTTTATATATGCAATAAGATCACAGGTGATTTCAAAATAGTTCCTTGATAATGTGAGTAGTCACGAAAGCGCTTGGAATTTCTCCATTCTTTCAGAGTGGTTGTTTTGTATATATATATATATATATATTATATATATATATATATATATATATATATAATATATATATATATATATATATATATATATATATATATATATATATATATATATATATATATATATATATATATATATATATATATATATATATATATATATATATATATATATATATATATATATATGAATGATGGGGTCCACCTTAGGTTTAAATTGTGGGACCCATAGCCTCGGATTATTATTATTATTATAATCATGGGGGAGCACTAAACCAGTAGGATTATAAAGCGCATGTGGGGGGATGGAAAGTATTCAGGCTCAATTTAGGGAACCGGAGCATAGGTCCAATTTCCTAGATCAAGAGCCCCTCACCAGCATCAAGGAACCTCCCTTGAGGGGCCATAACCTCGGAGAAGTGGATAAAAAGGCTTCAATTATAGATTCTCCCAAGCAGATTTCGAATCGGTAATATCCAGACAGAAGGTATTATCGGCGCCTGGGTGTAATTACCATCATTCGCTATCAATTTTGGCCCTGTTTCTAAGTTGATTTTAAAATTAGAATTGTTAGCTTATTTTAGCCTGCAAAATTTAGATTTTCGAAATTAACGAAAAACTCTTATTACATTACGCCTTTAATTTTTGTATTTGTTTAAATATTAATTGATGTTTTCTGTTATGCATATATGTTTTTATTCTAGTAATTTAAATAATGCATTATCGTTAATCTATATTTTTCGTTAATATAAACTGAAAAAATACTGTATCGTACAATATATTCGTTCATATAAACTGAAAAAATATTGTTTCATGCAATATATATAACACTACGATAGCTCATATAACTACGATATATCATTGATAAGATGGGGATTGTATCGAAAACCGATCTTATGTAAGATGTTCCTATTACAGTATTTATTTACTAGGACTGTGTTCACAATCCGCACATCATTCATTACAAATCCTCGGTATTAGCGGTGGCCAGCAGAACATTATGGCATTGTTCACAAGTATTTTCGGGTGCCTATTTGAAGGGTGGGTAACCAGAGGGCACTTCCGCCTACTCTACTCTAACCCTTTATTCCACAGCGCTCTGTTACTAACCATATTGCTCCTAGCGAGTTAGGATTGTCATTTTCTACTATCTCATTTGAACTACTTCACTATGTTAATGCCACATAATAATTTCACATAGGCTCTGGCACTAGACACCTCCCGTGGGTACACACTAGCCAGTATATTGCCGAAATCAACGAAACTGGGTGAAACTTTGGCGCCGCCTTCAGGCGCGGGGGGCATTTGACGGGCACGTACCTCTAGGTTATTTTAGACCCCAGAGGCAGTCGGTGCCGGCAGGACCACACCTCCGGCCCTTGTTGATGGCCCTGGCTCTCATTCCTAGCAGTGTGATCCCAACCTCCCGGGAACACCTCCCTAACATCAGTCAAAAGAAATTCTCATCTTACTCGCGAGGCCTTGGGCTGACGAAGGGCTGAAGGTCTTAACTTTTAAGGACAAACTACAGTAAATCACAATGATAGGACTACTCAGAGGGACGCTGGTGGCTCTGGGCCTCGTATTGCTGGCGGGCCAGGCTCTTGCTCATAGTGCTAAGGCCGATGTTATCGAGGATGTAAATGCTAAGCAGCTGGAAAATCTGATTGATGAGAATGATTATGTGGCAGTGTATTGGTGTAAGTTTTCCTCAAGTGTCAGTGGTTAATGTGTAATGTGAAGTGCTGTGTTTATATTGGTATGCCGCTTTGAGAGGCTGTCGGTTCTTCTGCAGGGGTAAGTACCATTTTAAATAGTTAATGGCAGTCTTCTGTCTGCCTTCCAGGATGTCTCCACCTCGTTTAAGACCCCTTGTTAATTCTATTGTTTACTGAGAAAATAGCTACATCGAAAACGCTCTTGTTTAGCGATACAATTTTTTCAAAAGAAAGTATATGCTTTTTGTACTCTTAAAGCTTATGTAAAAAAAAGTTATTATATTTTGCTGTATGTTGCTGGGGTTGGCCCGCTAACCGTTGGGAAGCAGAATGGGCAGCATTATCATGTTACCACCGTCTCACACTTGTTTTGTTTACATCGAGGAAAGATTATCGCCTCTGAAGTTATCGGTAGCTAAATTTAGAGCTTTCGTATAATTTTTATATTTGTTGCTTCTCGCTAGCTATTAAGTATTATTTAGTGTTGTGAGAATCGCGGAAAGTGAATGCACAAGTCTATTTATTTTTCGTAGCTATCTACTGGCTTGCATTCTTTGCACGGTGTCTCACCAAGGACAAACCAAGCAAACACTTTCAAATATTTGCTCTACGGTGAAATAGGACCTTCGAATACGACCTAACAAAAAATAAATTATTTTCCTTCAAGGTGAAATCAAGGCAAGGAATAGAAGGCATAGTGTATATACAGATGCTGAGGGGTAGGTGGAATTTGAGCCAGCAGTGCTACTGGGCGGTGGTGTCGAACAATTATAGCTGGTGCAGCACAACCAGAAGACAGCAAGGTCCTCAAGGCCACATTCTTGCTAGGCTCTCCTGTTGTCCGGCTACGAGCATCTTCCTGGCAACCCGGCCTGCTCGCTCTCACGCCCCACCTCCGAGCGTAGCCTCCATTTTTAGAATATAAAATATTACTATTTGAAGTAATCAGCGGCTAAGAAAAAATCGTTTATAATATAGAATACATAGTAAAGATTCTCTAACTATGGCATAATAGGTAATTTTGGAGTGCCATGGGTAAATGATGAGTGGTCTCTTAACTGAATTATGTATGGAAAGGTTTGGTAATAGGCATTTTTTTATTTACTAATAGTTTAGCTGACAGCAGTCAGCTAAACTGTTAGTAAATAAAAGGTTGGTTGGTAGCCTCCAAGATGTACATGTTTTAAGAGGAGTTACTGATATGTCAGATAATTATTTAGTAGTAACTGCAGCAAGAGTAAGAGACAGATGAAGTACAAGAATATCATCGGCCGCTAAGAGAGAAGTGAATAAGTAAACGACGAGACAGTGGGAGATCTAAGGAACTATTGAACGAAAGTGGGCCAGAGAGAGTACAGGTAATTAGGGGTTCGAAGAGGTATGGATAGATTTAAGAATGCAGTACTAGTCTGTGACATTTTTGTGAGTAAAAGATGATGGGTGCAGGTGGGAAAAAGGAATGATCGATGGAATAAGGCCAGGAGGATGGTATGGTAAAAAAAAAAAAAATGCTAGCGTATGAGAGAGAGAGAGGTTTTTGTAGTTTAAAATGATGCTCCGGTACAGAAGGCAGAGTATGTGAAGAGGTTAAAAGAGTGGTGGGGTGCAAAGGAAAGCAAATTAGGGAATACCTGGAGAAGGTTATAGTGCTGGCTATAGTGAGGCTATAGTGTTGGAGTGGTTAGTGAATTTGTTCAGTTTATGCATGACAGAAAGCATACATAGTATCGTTGTATAAGGGAAAAATAAGTCCATGGGTATACCAGGTAAAATGTAAGAGTTAAGAATAAAACAGAAAGTAGGATTGCAGAGGAACAAAGAGGATATAGCAGGGTAAGGAACGTGTAGACCTAATGTAGACATTGAAGGCATATAAGTGAACAGTAATTAGATAAGGATAAAGAACTACTTGTCGCATTTATGTATTTATAAAAGGCATATGATAAAGTGGATAGGAGGCAATGTGGCAGATACATGTATGGAATAGGCAATATGTTAACGAAAGAAGTCAATAATTCAGACAGAGAATGAGGCTTTGGTTAGGTATGTAGGAGAGAGGGAGACTGTTTTCCATAGAGATGGATGATGTCACCATAGTTGTTGAGTATATGTATTTGATGGGGCTGTAAAGGGAGTGAGTACTAAGGTGTTGGGGAGAGGTGCGGGATTAAAAGATAATGAGTCCGATACGAAGTGGGCGTTGCCACAGTTGATGTTGCCGAAGGCACACTTCTTTTGGGAGATTTAAAGGAAATCTGCACAGGCTTGTGGAGGAGTTTGGTAGGATATGTAAAAGAAGGAATTTACAGGTGAACTTAGAAAATAAAGCAGTGTGATGGGATAATGAATTGGGTGAAGGAGCATGAGGAAGTGAGTGTATTTAGATATTTTGCAGATGGGTCTATGAAGAAAGGTGAACCGTGGACGTCGGGTGTAAAAGGATACATATGCAATTAATGTGATGGTTTAGAAAGACACGTAAGCAAACACTATAACATATTTATTAGAAAACGTTTCGGTCCTGTGTAGGCGAGACAGGCAGAGATCTTGCAGTCCGCCTGAATGAGCATCGAAATGCCTCTAACAGAGACGATGTAAGGTACGCCTGTGTCCTCCACAGAGACTCCACGGGGCATTTGATGAACTGGAACGAGGCACAACTCGTTCTCACCGAACCAGACCTCAGACGCCGACGGTGCCTAGAAGCCTCACTAATCGCCGTCACCGACACTATAGAACGCAACACTGGAAACTACAAAATTTCAAAAACATTGGCATACATGATACTTAAGCAGCACCAACCCAACAACACAGGAGTCACATGATTTCATCGTCTACCCGTCCTCATAGGCAGAGGTTGCTTTGATAAGGACCTGCCTCGCATGGGCTAGTAGGCCTTCTACAGTGTTCCTCCATTCTTATGTTCTTATGACATTCCTCAGGTCACGTGCGTCACATCTCACTCTCCGCCTATATATATAATGTCTTTCTACCTCTGTATGTTAGAAGTGATCAAGGTCCCAGGACCGAAACGTTTTCTAATAAATATGTTATAGTGTTTGCTTACGTGTCTTTCTAAACCAACTTGTCGGTATTTATTACCAAGGTTTATACCAATTAATGTGATATTTTATTGCATCAACGTTTCATTCTAGGAGCTGTGTCGAACCAATACAAACAATATAAGGACAAAAAGTATATGTAAGTAATAATGTGAGGTGAAAGAGCATAAGCACTGCAGTAGGTCTACAGACCCACGTTGATGAATGAAACTTTTTCTAACACTTGGGCATCTTTATTGTGGAAACGTTTCGTCAGTTAGTGGTTTCATCTATCTAATATAGAGAGGAACGGTGGAAGATGAGGAGTTTGAGGTAATCAGTCCCTCAGTCTGGATATGTGTTCAGTCCATCAATTTTGATCAAATTTGATCGACTGAGTACATCATATCTAGGCTTAGAGACTCTGCCTCAAACTCCTCATCATCTTCCACTCTTCTCCTCTGTATTGGACTGACGAAGTCACTAGCTGGCCAAACGTTTCCACAATATAGATGCCCAAATGTTGCAGAAGTGTCTCATTCATCTACTTGTCGGTTTTCTAAACGATGTATACAAGTTTGGCTTGTGTTGCAGGTGGTATTATTATTATTATTATTATTATTATTATTATTATTATTATTATTATTATTATTAGTAGTAGTAGTAGTAGTAGTAGTAGTAGTCATAACAGAAGTAGTAGTAGAAGTGGAGGTAAACTTTAGTTGCTGTGATCCCGGGGTTTGTTTTGAGAACTTTTGCTAGTACTTCAGAGATAATGAAGCTGTCTTTGTTCTGTTTAATGGTGTCTGAAATGGCGATTAATGATGATTCACGGCATTTATGTCTGCCGAAATTTGATCTGGGGGTGAGTATAACACCGAGCACATCTCCTGAGGCGCACATCAATCAGATAACTGCTGCAGCGTACGGGCGTCTGGCAAACCCAAGGATAGCGTTCCGATACCTCAGTAAGGAATCGTTCAAGACTCTGCACACCATTTACGTCAGGCCCATACTGGAGTATGCAGCACCAGTTTGGAATCCACACCTGGTCAAGCACGTCAAGAAATTAGAGAAAGTGCAAAGGTTTGCAACAAAACTAGTCCCAGAGCTACGGGGATTGTCCTACGAAGAAAGGTTAAGGGAAATCGGCCTGACGACACTGGAGGACAGGAGGGTCAGGGGAGATATGATAACGACATATAAAATACTGCGCGGAATAGACAAGGTGGACAAAGACAGGATGTTCCAGAGAAGGGACACAGAAACAAGAGGTCACAATTGGAAGTTGAAGACTCAGATGAATCAAAGGGAAGTCAGGAAGTATTTCTTCAGTCATAGAGTAGTCAGGCAGTGGAATAGCCTAGAAAGTGACGTAGTGGAGGCGGGAACCATACATAGTTTTAAGACGAGGTTTGATAAAGCTTATGGACCAGGGAGAGAGAGGACCCAGTAGCAACCATTGAAGAGGCGGGGCCAGGAGCTATGAATCGACCCCTGCAACCACAAATAGGTGAGTACACGCAGGAGCTATGACTCGACCCCTGCAACCACAACTAGGTGAGTACACACACAAGGGAAATCGGGGTGACGACACTGGAGGACAGGAGGGTTAGGGAAGACATGATAACGGCATATGAAATACTGCGAGGAATTGACAAGGTGGACAGACAGGATGTTCCAGAGATGGGACACAGAAACATGGGGTAACAACTGGAAGTTGAAGACTCAGATGAATCACAGGGATGTTAGGAAGTATTTCTTTAGTCATAGAGTTGTCAGGAAGTGGAATCGTCTGGCAAGTGATGTAGTGGAGGCAGGAACCATACATAATTTTAAGACGAGGTATGATAAAGCTCATGGAGCAGGGAAAAAGAGAAGACCTGGTAGCGGTCAGTGAAGAGGCCGGGCCAGGAGCTATGTATCGACCCCTGCAACCAC